AAATATATATAAGAAACCAATAAAATTCAGTTTTTTTTTTTTTTTTTTTTTTATTAACTCTCCACAATGATATTGGCTACCTTCCGCATAAACTCTCATGGCATGGCTTTGTTTTGTTTTGGCTTACCCAAAAGGCATTATACCAATAGAGAGAGTATTATTTGATTACAAACTCGTGATCATTCCCTAAATTAGTCGAAGGACTTTCATCATCCAACATCTTCTCTCGAACAAAGTACGCCTCCCCTTAATTGAGACTAGATTCTTTTGGAGTCTTAGTCATTTTTTACTATGCCTTAGGGTTGACTACTTTTTCTTTTGGAGTATTTTGTTCGAAATTTGAGAATTTACCAATCTATTGGCACAACTAATTTTAGGACATGATTCTGATACCATGTTAGATGAACACACTCTCCACAATGGTATGATATTGTCCCCTTTGAGCATAAACTCTCATAATTTTGTTTTTGGCTCCCCAAAAAGTCTCATGACAATGGAGAAAGTATTTTTTATTATAGAGACATGATCATTCTCTAAATTAGATGACGTGTACTTTTATCATCCAACTGTAATAATAAAAATAAAAATTAGATATGAGAATTATATATATATATATTATGACAATTATTATGTTTATTATGTTTATTATTATTTAATTAATTATACAGACACATAAAATATTATTATTCTTAAAAATGGACTAATAAAATCTCTTATTTGAATCCAAAATTATGATTGATCTCAAAGATAGACATTATCTGAATATTCCAGGCAGACAGGGCCGGTCTTCCACGCGGACGGTGCCCAGGGCCATACGCGTGGGCCCCACCTAATTTGGAAATTAGCCACCTATTATTAAAAATATATATTATTATTTAACACAACATTTAAAAAAAAAAATCAAATTTAAATAAATTGTGCAAAAAAAAAAAAATAAATAAATAAAAAAATAACAATAATGTGGTTAATGCGAGTAAATTAGCAGATTTTGCATTTAAATTAAGGTTAAATTAATAAAAAAAAAATAACTCTTAATTTTGTGTTTTTTGTAAAGAGTATCCTTAAATTTTTTTAATATTAATCTCAAGCTTTTAAAGTTTAAAAAATAACCTTAAATTTTAACAAAAATATTTTTAAACGTAAATATATATTTTAATTTTTTGAAAAAATTAAAGATATTTTTGAAGTTTTTAAAAAAAATTGAAAGACACTAATTAAACTTTTAAAAATTTAAATTTTTTTATTTTTTTTTTAAATTATAAGGATATTTTTGAAATAAATATTAACATTATCCATCTAAAATTATTTTTTTAAAAGACATTTTTATTAATTTAAAATTTTAAGTTATAATTATGGGTACAATTTTTTTTTTCTGCAAATAAAAAAATTTAAATGCATCTTAAAAAATTGCAATTATTTAACAAAATCTTTGAATGTCTTATTTTGTTTGCAAGTGGAGAAAAAAAAAAACAAAATTTTATCAGAAAAAAAAAAATCCCTCACGCTCATTGCACGTGACTCTTTATTTTTTTCCTTGTTTTGTTATTATTATTTTAAAATTGTGAATGAAATTCAAATGCACGCGAAGCAACGAGGGTATAAAAATTGGAAACCTAGAGCTGTGCGTATAAGTTGGGCAACGAAACACGCTCCTTCCTCATTTTCGCGTGCATCAATAACGTCGGATTCTTCGGTTCGCTCCAAGCGCGTTGAATCTCAAGCTCTGCATGATTGCCAGAATCCATGGCTTCTGCGTGCATCAATAACGTCGGAATTCCGCCGGAGAACTTCCTCGACGGCTCACGGGCCACCTACAGTTCTTACGGTTGGTTGAGCCCTCGCGTATCCTTCAGTCGCGAGTTTCCCGACGACTCGTCCGCCAATCTCTCCGGCTTTGAACTTAGTCCCTCCTACATTACTGATACTTCTTATGCGAGTAAACCGGCGATTTCAGGTACGGATCTGGAAGGTTCGGCTAGTGATTTTGAGTTTAGGCTGGAACATCCGGTTACTCTGATTCCTGCTAATGAACTCTTCTTCAACGGAAAACTCGTGCCGCTGCAGCTTCCGTCGTTGAAATCGTCGGTCAAGGAAGAACTCTCCGCGACGGAGATTGGATCGCGGTCGCCTGATACAACAACGCTGCGAAGAGTGACGGAAATTGGTAATGCGGATCCGTACTCTTTTTCTCCTCGTGCTCCGAGGTGCTCGAGTCGGTGGAGAGAGATTCTAGGGCTGAAGAAAGCTAATCAGATGACCAGTTCTATAGCCGCGAAGAATGAAAATCAGAAGACGGATTTGTCTTCATCGAGAACACGAATGAAATCTCTGAAGCAATTTCTCCACAGGAATTCCAAGCTAGCGTCCTCCGAGTCCTCGGATACTCTAAATCATCCATTATTGAAAGATTTGGACTGCGAGTCAGTTTCCATATCCTCTTCTCGCCTCTCCCTTTCTTCCTCATCCTCTGGTCTTTCACTCGACGATCTCCCTAGACTTTCACTCGATTCGGACAAAGCATCGAAGTTCAATCGTGAATCAAAGAATCGGATAAATACGGTGAAGCCGATAGCATCGCGATCAGAAGCGAAGAGAGTAGGGCGTAGCCCGGTTCGTCGGCCGCCAGGGGAATCAGGTAGAGTGAAAAGCAGAGAAGTATCCATGGATAGTCCGAGAATGAACTCCTCGGGGAAAATAGTGTTTCAGAGTCTGGAAAGGAGTTCGAGTAGTCCGAGCAGCTTCAATGGCGGACCGAGATTGAAGCACAGCGGTATCGAAAGGTCATACTCCGCGAATGTAAGAGTGCCGCCGGTGCTGAACGTTCCGATGAGCTCGCTGAGGGGGTCATCAAAGTTCGCGTTCAGCCAGCTGTTTTCCTCGCCGCAGAAAAGAACCGAAGCGACTTACGGCGGCGGTGGAGGCAAAGGCCAGACGAGACACTGCAGAAACCGGATCGCTGGAGCCTGACGGAATCCACCAGTCCAGTCGAAGAATTTCCTATTTTTAGAAGCAATAATTTTACGAGTATTCTAATTGGTAGGACAACCAAACGTCACCGTTTTGCAGTTCAAACAGAAGTGGCGTTTGAAAAACACGCGCAGAGAAATGATAGCATTTGAGATACTCTCTTTCCATGAATTCCAAAGCGGTGTCGTTTTGCAGATTTACAACTTTTAAAAGAATAAAACTGGAAGAGGGAGACGGTTGGTCAAGTTGAGGGGCAACGGGCAGGGGTGGCTCTTACTTTGATAATATAACCTTTTTTTCTTTTTTTTTTTCTTTTTTTTTAATTTTAGGTTATTGGTATCTTTTGTTTCTTTACGGAGTATTGGAAATGACGCAAAAGTGTATTCAAAATAGAACTTGCTCAGTCCCTGTCTGCTCTCTGTTGAATGGTTTTTATATGCCTCGGACTCTGATCCAATCCAATTCAATTATTTTTCTATTTAAATCACTCATACCGAAAATTTTAGCAAAAATTTAATGCATAATTTTTTTAATTTAATCAAAGTTTACCTCAAATTTAGATTATATTGCCATCCAAACCTTACAATTAAAAGAAAAATGTTAATTTATTCCTTCTTAACATTAAAAGACTTATCATACATGTTTAATCAAAATATAAATTAAATATATCGATTTAAAATGAACAAAATTTTAAAGAAAAACACTATAAATGTTGTTTTATTGTCGAAATTTGTGAGTTTTGACCGATCCCTTTTATTCGTCTCCATGTCCCTCTCGGATATGAGGCGAAAAAAGGAAAAGAAAGGATGGAATTTCTCTAGTTTTTTGCATAGTGGGTCCCACTCGCGATAGTTGCATCGTTGTGCCTGGGCTGCAAGGGCTCTCAACCATATAGATAGTTCAATGTGCTTTATCAGCGGTTGATCTTGAGATGTGGATCATCCAAGTCACATTAGCATGACGTAGTTCTCCTGTTTGAATCAGAATTTGAAACTAAAATTCTCCTCGAGAATAGATGGTCGATTCAAGGCACATTAGCACGACATACTTCTCCCGTTTGAATCAGAGTTTGAAACTAAAATTTTTCTTAGAGGATAGATGATCGATTAAGGTGAGATATTATTTTACGTAATAATGAAGCTAACTATATAAAAAAAAAAATATATTATTTTAGGTTAGATTAAGTGAGTTAAAAACTAGTAAAAATG